TTTTGGGGGTGTTCATTGGATGCTCCAGTCCCTGCACAGCCTCTAACCAGGGGTTTCCCGTTCCAGTTTGTCCCTGCTGGAGGAATTCGACTGCAGCTGTAACGAGCTGGAGTCGCTGCCCTCCACCATCGGGTACCTGCACAACCTGCGCACCCTGGCCGTGGACGAGAACTTCCTCCCCGAGCTGCCCAGGGAGGTGAGAGCTCATCCCACACCCAATTCCCGGCTGGAATATCCAGTGGGAGCCAGAATTCCATCCCTGCCCCCAATTCCTGGCTGGAATATCCTTGGGGATCCAGAATTCCATCCCTGTCCCCACACACAAACCATCCAGTCAGGCAGTTGCGTTGTCTCGGTGTGCAAGAGCAAATATTCCAAATATTCGGTGGTCAAAGGGAGCAGTAAATCCATGGGAATTTGGGAATATCCCTGTGAAGAACCCCAGGCATTCCCCGAGGTTCCTGCCAATGGGAAAATGTCATTTTCTAATTGAATTCTGGATTTTCTGCCTTTTGTGCCTCTCAGTAAAACTCAATTTAGCCACCTCCTGAGATGAAAAATGATAACAAACTTTATGATTTTCTATTATTTATTTTTTTATTATTATTATTTACAAACTTCACATTTTTTCTAATTAAAACCCCATGCCCTCTAAACTGTGTTCCCACCATTTTGGCTTTTCCATCCCCACAGATTGGGAGCTGTAAGAACGTGACTGTGATGTCCCTGCGCTCCAACAAACTGGAATTTCTTCCTGATGAGATTGGCCAAATGCAGAAGCTGAGGGTGTTAAATCTGAGTGATAACAGGTACAGCAATTTTTTTTCAGCATATTTAATTTTTTTTTTCAATTTAAACTTTTTTTTCTTTGTAAAGATACAGGTCTCTAAAGTGTATTTTAAAATACAAAATTACCTTTAGAATTCTAGTTTAAAAATAGTATCATTATAATTTAATTTATTTAAACTAAAAGGAAATTTTTTCTTAATCCTTCTGGTTTGGTCTCAGTTCATTTGACATCCAAAGGAAAACTTCAAGAAAATTGAATAAGGCCAAAATCTGGATCTTGGTTTGTTTTAATAGCTTCAAACCCATTTCCTTCTTTTATCTCCTGCTGTTTCTATGGGGAAAAAAAGAGATATTGTCTATAGGTTTGTAATATTTAATGATTAAAAAGCTGATACTCAGGGAATCAGGAAACAGGGATTTGTTATTCTGCATCCACTGAAATCCAAAGAACATTTTTCATTTCCTTCAGCAGAGGTGTTTTTTGTTTTTTTTTTTTTGTCAATTCGTTTGTCCTTGCTTGGATGAGAAATAAAATGTTTAAAATCTCCTGTGCTGCCACAGGCACGTGGAAAATCTGAATTTCCTTGGGATTGATCCGTGGGGATTTGCAATATTTCCATTTATCTCTCCAGGAATTACCATCCACACTCAGCAAAATATTAGGGAAGGATTTTCCAGTTTCATTGCTGAGATTCAGGTCGAACATGAAATATAAATGATAGAAACTCACTGAGAACCCCCCTGGAATTTTGTTTAAAAATTCCTTAACTCAGTTCCATCAATTCCATTCCGTGGCACAAATTCCATCCTGGGTGGGCCTGTCCCAGTTCCAGTGGATTTCCAGGTGGATGTTCCCAAGGCTGGTCCTTCCTCTGCCCTGTGGGGACACAAAGGAGGGGACAGGAGAGGGGCCACTGCTGATCCAGGATTTTTTTGGGAATTAGGAATGCAGGGAGCCATCCCTGCCATGACCTTGAGTGGGGTCACTGCCTCCTTTTCCAACCTGGAAAGCAGGAAAATGTTGGGAGGTATTTGGGATTTTTTCCCTTTCTTTCTTTCTTTCTTTCTCCATTTCTTTCTTTCTCCATTTCTTTCTTTCTCCATTTCTTTCTTTCTCCATTTCTTTCTTTCTCCATTTCTTTCTTTCTCCATTTCTTTCTTTCCCCATTTCTTTTCTTTCCCCATTTCTTTTCTTTCCCCATTTTTTCCCCAGTGATTTTCCTGCTGATTCCAACACTGCTGTGTAGGGACTGACCCATGTGGGGAGGCAACTCAGGGCTTCCCAACTTCCTGGATTCCAGCAAAATTCCAGCTCCTGCCCGAGCTGGGAGAGGATTGGGATTTCCACTGGGGAGAAAAGGGATGATGGGACCAGCATGGCAGCGATGTGGGGTGGGATGTGCTGTTCCTTGGGATGGGATGGGGTGTTGGTTCCATGGGATGGAGTGTG